TTTCGTTTCAAATATTTAGTAATTAAAAAAAACATTTGTTCTACTTTTCACACAACTTTCGATATAATCAAACTATTCATTTTTTAACACTTATAAAATAAAATCTTTTAATCCCATATAAAGTAAGCTATTTACAAGAACTTTAAACCTCTTATCTCTATTACATACATACATATGTATATGTATTTAAGTGGGCGTGTCCTGTCTATTATTTATTACAATATAAATACAAAATTATACATTTCTTTTACCACCTGTTAAATCGTTATATTCGATCATAAGCATCTGTAGTAAGTAGAATCATATGATCACAATTTATATCACAATTACTTTCCCTCCTCGTTACTGAAGAATTTAGCACCTGAAAAACAATTTATTAAAGAACAAAAATAATGGCTGTTTAAAAGAATATGTTCAAAACTTAATTGCATATCGTAATAAATTTTCAACTAAACAAGTTTTTAACTTTAGCTACTTTGTATTTTAAAATTATTGACAGGTAGCATAGGAAATAAATTTCGTTGTTTAGCAATGTCTGGGTAACCGAAAAAGTTTGTGTGAATATATTTTAAAATATATTATTATATATTTAGAATATATTTTTAACAATGTTTGGAATAACAATCTATAATAATACTTATGTATATCCCCAGTAAAAAATTTTTAGACTTTAGGAAGCTAAAAAGGGAAGTAACTGCATCTGTATTCGCTTACTATTAAGCCTTACTGAGAAGCAGGTAATAAGGGAATACCAATGATAGGAGTAATTTTATAATGTAAGCTGAAAAAAATTAAAAGCTTACTACTATCCCTTACAGAGAAGCAGATTGTAAGTGAAATATTTAAATATTATTTAAGCTTACTAGTGGGAATGCTTCCAAGTGGGAATTCGCTATATAAAAATCATGCCTTATCGAAGCAGGTTTGTAAGGGAGAAAATAGCTTCGTTCCCTTACAAACCTGCTTGCATGTAAGCTCCAATTTTTACTGGGTCATTGAATTATTTTATTAATATATTTCCATTATTTCCAATATCAGTTAATCAATTCTACTACAATTTTCTAAAATATTTACATATGTATGTTTATGAAGTTGACTAACATCAGTTCACTATCGATAGAAAAATGTAACCTAAATGTTATAGATGATTTCAGATCAGCTTTTGCCATTCATTAATTATCATTATTGCAAATATATAATATATTTTTGTTTTGATTAGTAGTTATGAATGGAATTTAGAAAAAGTACCATCATCTAGTACGTACTATGTATTTAAAGAACTAAGAAAAAATTTAACATAACACTCTTATGCATACATTTTCAATTTATATAAGTATTTATATAGTCTAGTATATAGTCTAGTCTATAGTCTAGTCTATAGTCTAGTCTATAGTCTAGTCTATAGTCTAGTCTATAGTCTAGTCTATAGTCTAGTCTATAGTCTAGTCTATAGTCTAGTCTATAGTCTAGTCTATAGTCTAGTCTATAGTCTAGTCTATCTAGTCTATAGTCTAGTCTATAGTCTAGTCTATAGTCTAGTCTATAGTCTAGTCTATAGTCTAGTCTATAGTCTAGTCTATAGTCTAGTCTATAGTCTAGTCTATAGTCTAGTCTATAGTCTAGTCTATAGTCTAGTCTATAGTCTAGTCTATAGTCTAGTCTATAGTCTAGTCTATAGTCTAGTCTATAGTCTAGTCTATAGTCTAGTCTATAGTCTAGTCTATAGTCTAGTCTATAGTCTAGTCTATAGTCTAGTCTATAGTCTAGTCTATAGTCTAGTCTATAGTCTAGTCTAGTCTAGTCTATAGTCTAGTCTATAGTCTAGTCTATAGTCTAGTCTATAGTCTAGTCTATAGTCTAGTCTATAGTCTAGTCTATAGTCTAGTCTATAGTCTAGTCTATAGTCTAGTCTATAGTCTAGTCTAGTCTATAGTCTAGTCTATAGTCTAGTCTATAGTCTAGTCTATAGTCTAGTCTATAGTCTAGTCTATAGTCTAGTCTATAGTCTAGTCTATAGTCTAGTCTATAGTCTAGTCTATAGTCTAGTCTATAGTCTAGTCTATAGTCTAGTCTATAGTCTAGTCTATAGTCTAGTCTATAGTCTAGTCTATAGTCTAGTCTATAGTCTAGTCTATAGTCTATAGTCTAGTCTATAGTCTAGTCTATAGTCTAGTCTATAGTCTAGTCTAGTCTAGTCTAGTCTATAGTCTAGTCTATAGTCTAGTCTATAGTCTAGTCTATAGTCTAGTCTATAGTCTAGTCTATAGTCTAGTCTATAGTCTAGTCTATAGTCTAGTCTATAGTCTAGTCTATAGTCTAGTCTATAGTCTAGTCTATAGTCTAGTCTATAGTCTAGTCTATAGTCTGTCTAGTCTAGTCTATAGTCTAGTCTATATCTAGTCTATAGTCTAGTCTATAGTCTAGTCTATAGTCTAGTCTATAGTCTAGTCTAGAGTCTAGTCTATAGTCTAGTCTATAGTCTAGGTCTATAGTCTAGTCTATAGTCTAAGTCTATCTAGAGTCTAGTCGATAGTCTATAGTCTAGTCTATAGTCTAGTCTATAGTCCTAGTCTATAGTCTAGTCTATAGTCTAGTCTATAGTCTAGTCTATGTCCTAGTCTATAGTCTAGTCTATAGTCTAGTCCTATAGTCTAGTCTATAGTCTAGTCTATAGTCTAGTCTATAGTCTAGTCTATAGTCTAGTCTATAGTCTAGTCTATAGTCTATCTATAGTCTAGTCTATAGTCTAGTCTATAGTCTAGTCTATAGTCTAGTCTATAGTCTAGTCTAGTTTCCAGACTATACTTTAAACTGATGATCAAAATCTAAATCTTAAATATCATGTTTACAGTTTTAAAAAATTATTAGTTTAAAAACGAAATAGGTAAATAAAGTTACCTTCCCTTTACATAGTATTTTTTTAAAAGAAACATTTAAAATTACACATAAATGGTGAGACCAATTAAATTTAACAGACGCTACCAATTGATTTAATAATAATCACTATAACTTACTGCAGCGATGTAAAAAAGATAAAAATTGGGACGAACCTGTATGAACAAGTGAGTACACATGCACTTGTTTGTTCAAGTTAAATAATACAGGTTACCAGTTATAAAACTATGAATGGTGCTGAAAAATAAAGAAAAGTAATTTTTAATAAATTATGTTAAAAATCTGTAATAATGGATTGCTCGAATGTGGTCAATTAATATATTATATATAAATAGGTGAGTTAAGAATTTAAAACAGATTTAGTCAAAAATTCGAAGTTAAACTAACCATGCACAGATAGTTATTATTGTAATAATTGAACCGATATTCTTTAGAGGGCTGTGTAGATCTACATCAAAAATTAAACAATTTATTTGCCGCGTACATACTTTATCGGAAGAAAAGCTTTGGATGAAGGGCTTTTACAAGTTGTAGGCTCTGTCTAAAAGAAGCCATTCTATTACTAATATTCCATGTATTCAGGCATCATACATTTTTGTATTTTATTTCTACATACTCGTACAACTATTTATTCTCTAAAATTGGTAAGATCATACGGATGGATGACGATGATGATGAGATGTGATCAATTGGATAAAGCCATTATGGTTGCACCTTTATTTTATATTTGTTGTTATTGTTGTATTTTCCTTCGTCTTTATCCGTAATTTCATTGTTTGTTTATTGGCAACCAGTTCAAATATTGGTCGGCAGGCTGGAACAATTTTATCATATAACTTTGTTTGTGTATTTCTTTTTCTTAGCCGCATACTAAAGCAATCATTTGCGCATGCGAGAAAATTTACAATAAATAAACCAACAAGTCGTTACAATTTTAATGAATGAAATGTTTGGCTCAATTATTTCTATCGGAACTTGTTGCCAGCAATAGTAAGTAGTAGCACTATAGCAAGTATAATCATGATGCTACGAGTATTGTTTAGTTTTTATAACAAGCTTTCCAAGTGTTTTTTGTTAGTTGCTTTGTATCTTTCTTTCTGGAACCATATTGTCACGTGCTTACTACCAATAGACTCACTTACATATTTCTATACATATATGCAAGTTTCTTCTGCTAAATCTGTACCTCGGAGACTATCCATAAAGATGGCATACAACGCCGGCTTTATTGTATTGTAGTCTAAAAAGATAATTGCGCAAATATCTAAAGTTGAATGTGTTTTTTTTTTTCTTGTCTTGTAGATGATTAAGAGTAATAAATTTTCTATTTATAATTAAAATTTTTCATTGTTATACACACTTATAAGGTTTTTTTTGTCTTCATCTTCTTTTGTTTTGTGAAAAACATTTTAAGAATTTTAAACAATAAAAGTTGTTTTATTATTTATTATTTTAATTGCGTCTATCCATCAATGTTGCGTGAAACTTACACTTTCTATCAAATTGTTTGATGGTAAATATTTTTGTCAAGAAATGTAAAAGGAAAATTTAACATGATTATTATGTGTGTACTAAAGTCTATAGTCAGGGCTATAGCCTACAGTCGTTATTATTGTCTATAGTCGGGACTATTGCGAATATTGTAAACTATAGCTTATAGTCTGGTCTGTAGAGTATAGTCTGGAATATAGTCTACAGTCTTTACTATAATATATAGTCCGTACTATAGACAATAGACTTTAGTCCAGACTATAGACTATAGTCCAGACTATAGACTATAGTCCAGACTATAGACTATAGTCCAGACTATAGACTATAGTCCAGACTATAGACTATAATCTATATTCGATAGTCTGGACTATGGTCTATAGTCTGGACTATAACCTATAGTCTGAATTATAGTCTATAGTCTGGACTATAGTCTATAGTCTGGACTATATTCTATAGACTGAACTATAGTCTATAGTCTGGACTAAAGTCTATAGTATTGACCATAGTCTCTAGTCTGGACTATAGGCTGTAGTCTAGACCATAGTCCAATCTTTTTAGTATTTTCTATTATAAAATCTACAGTCTCAATTTTAGAAATTTTGAATACAATGAAATTAATTCTTAAATAAAAATCTTATAATAAAATTTATTTTAGTGTAAAATCACACACACACAAATCTCTTTTTCAGCCTTAAATATACTAAATACAATCATCATACAAATATGATCAAAAAAAAATATATTATAACTTGTCTTAAATCTACTTAGTTATTATTCCAAATCACTTATCATCGGTGCACTTGGTTCTTGTTGGATTTCTGTAAATGTATACAAATTAGGTTGCATCACTGGTAATTTTGGTATTGCCAAAAAATCATCCCATGGCAATTGTATTGTATGCACATGTTCATAAAACAATTTCAATTCTTTAAAGATTTCATCGAAACGTTTGCTAAAGCCGGAAATATCATCTGGGGATAATTGTAAATGCAATAAACGTAAAATCGTAATAGAATGCTGATATAGTAAATTACATTCGGCAATTATGGTGACAAGAGATGCCAAACGGCACTTGCCTTTTTTAGATGCTGCAGTGATTTGATTTTGCTCCATGTTGGCAAATATGACACGTTGCAAATGTAGTAAATCCTCTAGATAATCGAACAAATCTAAACTGAGTTGAAAACTAAGAGGAAGAAAAATAAAACAATAAACAATCAAAAAAATGTGCTTAGTTTTAGTTTAAAAGGTACATTGCTACATCTAAAGCTAACTGATAAAATATTTACCAAATATCTATATCCCTTAGGAGGAGTTCATCATAATTCAATTGCAAATTGCCTGCAAACTGCATATATGCTTGATGAAATAAAAGTTTTCTATGTAAAACTTTGCAATACCAAGCAATGCAGGGACTCATGGCATCATTCTTTGCTGACCAATATTGGGCACATAGTTTTAATTTTTGACAATATAACACAGAATGGCGTAATGCGATTGCTGGACCTTCATGTAATGTCTTATGCATTAAACAACAAAATTTCCATGTTGTAAAACGATTTACTGTAAGACTTTGTACTGGTCCAAATGTCCATATGGGTTCACTGCTTTGAAGAATATGAATTTTATCAATCACAATAATGGCATGTTTAATTTTGTATGGTTCGTCTAGGGGTCGTAAACATTTTTGAAGTGATTTTTCCTGTAATTAAAAGTTATAAACAATGTAGAAAATTTACTATAAAAAGACAATTTATTGGAAATTGGAAAATTCATGGAAAATTTTCTATAAAAAGAAAATTTCTGAAAAATTTTCTATAAAATGAAAATTTTTCTATAAAATGAATATTTATGAAAAATTGTCTATAAAATGAAAATTTATGAAAAATTTTCTATAAAATGAAAATTTATGAAAAATTTTCTATAAAATGAAAATTTATGAAAAATTTTCTATAAAATGAATATTTATGAAAAATTTTCTATAAAATGAATATTTATGAAAAATTTTCTATAAAATGAATATTTATGAAAAATTTTCTATAAAATGAATATTTATGAAAAATTTTCTATAAAAAGAAAATTTATGGAAAATTTTCTATAAAAAGAAAATTTATGGAAAATTTTCTATAAAAAGAAAATTTATGGAAAATTTTCTATAAAAAGAAAATTTATGGAAAATTTTCTATAAAAAGAAAATTTATGGAAAATTTTCTATAAAAAGAAAATTTATGGAAAATTTTCTATAAAAAGAAAATTTATGGAAAATTTTCTATAAAAAGAAAATTTATGGAAAATTTTCTATAAAAAGAAAATTTATGGAAAATTTTCTATAAAAAGAAAATATATGGAAAATTTTCTATAAAAAGAAAATTTATGGAAAATTTTCTATAAAAAGAAAATTTATGGAAAATTTTCTATAAAAAGAAAATTTATGGAAAATTTTCTATAAAAAGAAAATTTATGGAAAATTTTCTATAAAAAGAAAATTTATGGAAAATTTTCTATAAAAAGAAAATTTAACGAAAATTTTCTATAAAAAGAAAATTTAACGAAAATATTCTATAAAAAGAAAATTTAACAAAAATTTTCTATAAAAAGAAAATTTCTGGAAAATTTTCTATAAAATGAAAATTTCTATAAAAAGAAAATTTAGAATGTGTGTTTGTTTGTTTGTGGGTTTGTTTGTTTGAATCTATAGACGGCTAAACGGCTGGACCGATTTTCTGGAAATTTTTACAGGAAGTATATCTGGAAGGAACTACAATGTTTCAAGTAGGCGAGGTGCCACGCCTACTTATTAAATAACCATTAAAAGTCGTATATCTTGGAAACTGTTACAATTAGAGTCCTCAAATTTTGCACTGACAACTTTGATATCCATAACAATCATTTTGGACAAAATGGGCGGAATGACTGTAGTGGGCGTGGCGCCTCCCATATTAAAAAAATATTAAATCAGTATATTTCAGAAAATATAACAGTTAGAGTCCTTTAATTTGGTCGAAGCCACATAAGTCTCAATATGATTAGTTAGAATAAAAACTGGGCGGAATAGCAGTAGGGGGCGTGGCACTTCCCATATTAATTAAATACACAAATTCATTTATCTTGGAAACTATTACAGTTAAAATCTTCAAATTTTGCACGAAGAACTTTAGCATTAATATAAATATTTTGAGTAATAAATTGGCGGACTACCGATGGGGGGAGCGGCACCTCCCATATGAATTAAATACAACAAAATATTTTATCTAAGAATCTAATAGAACTAGATTCCTAAAATTTTGCACAAAGGACTTTCATATTAATCTGAACATTTTGGGAAAAGTGTTCCCGGACTTTCATAAGGGGGTGGCTTGGAACCCCCATATGAATTATATAGAAAAATTTGTATATCTGAGATATACAAATTTTACATGAGGAACTTTGACATTCATGTGAACATTTAGAGTAAAATGGGCGGACTTTCAATGGGGAAATTGGCCCCTCCCATATGAATTAAATACAATACAATATTATTTACATTTTTCATAGCTTATATTAAAATCCTTATTAGTGTTCGGAAAAATGGGCGAACTTGTAATAATTTGCGTGGTATCTCCCATGTGTAAGTTGGTTTTTTATGCTTTTAGGGTAGCAAAGCACACTGGGTATAGCGAGTTTTTTATATAAAATTTCGCGAAAATTTTCTATAAAATGAAAATTTAGAGAATATTTTATATAAAAAGAAAATGTAACATTTTCTAAGAAAAGAAAATTTAACCAAAATTTTTTGTAAAAAATTTTTCAGCAAAAAATTTAAAAATTAGGTAATGACAAGTAGTTATTTCATACATTACTATGTAATGTATGTATAGGTACATTTAGCTGTATAGGTACTCACTCGTATAGAGAAAAGTAGTTTGGAATTGTTTATAGTCCATTAGTAAGTATTCATATACAAAGAATTTATAAAAATTTTTTCTCTAAATTAAAAATTTAGTTCCGAAGTAAAGTCAAATATTTAGAATAAGGCTAGATATTTTATTACGATCATAATTTGTTTATTTGGAATTACAGGTTCACACTGATTTACACTCTCTGTTTACTCTTTTGTCCTAACTTTTGCACTTTTTTTAGATAACATTCAATAATTTTATGGTATTTTAATTAAATTTAAATTTTACCAATTCTTTTATATGTTTTTTATCCATAATCCATTTAGTTTTAGATTTATTTAAATTACTATATTAAAAAATCACTTTTTTGATTTCACTGTTGTTATTTGTTTGACAGGCAAAATATAAATAAAAAATATTTAGATAGATTTTAATATAACACAAAGTTGTACAATAATTTCTTATCAGAAATAAATTTTTATTTCATTTTTATTTAGAAAAGTGTTGAATGAGAGTAAGTACTCTTAAGTTGTCTTATCAATTGTAACATGAGTACTCAGTTAAAGAATTTAAAATGCCATTTGGTCTACTAATATGATATGCTTTTAAAATTTTGATTAGTTTGCTATATAGTAAAAGTAACATGTTTACCATAACTTTTAACTATTTTTAACGTTTTTTTAAGTTTTAATAATACATTATTTCTTAAGATTAAATACTTTTGAATAACATAATAACGTATTAAAAATCAAGTAGTGAATTCAAAAATCGGCACAAACCTGCAATATTGAATTTCTAAATAATAACAACTTCGTAAATTATTTGCAATTTAACGTATGTTATAATTGAGATAAGGTATTTATACCCAACACCTATATAGTAAGGAATGTACCATGTGTTTGTGCTGATATTTGCAAGGCATAGAAATTTAGTTAACTGCCATAAACGTTTAAGAATCAGTCGATTTCCGGAATTGGAAAGGTAACTAAATGATATTAACACCTTTAATTGCACCTTACTGAAACTGTTTTAATCGGTTCATTATTTCTGTAATCAAACAAATTTGAGAATAATTGGTTCTAGCACCCATTTTGAATTCATCTCAACATCTCAAATACAACTCAGTTTAACAAGGATAAAAATCATCATAATCGATTGAAATCTTACCAAAGCTTTTCTATATGAAATCTTGTTCCAAAAAATACTTTCTATCGTTGTAGGGTAACATTTTGCTTATATTCTATATATTTTGCAAACTTTTTTCGAACTGACCGCAAGTTTCTCCTAAAATTATTGCATTCAAGCATTAACGTATTGTTATTTTTTAAATATTTTGTCAAGGATTTTCGGTGAACCATATTATTTATTATAATTTAATATCGTTACAAAAATTGGAATAAGCAATAGTGTTATATTCGATTATATTATTCATAATCGTATTAGATCATTTTGGATCGTCGATCCATGCATGACTTTTTTACCACAAGCTATACGTCTTATATACAGAGATGTTTAGATTATATTGAAGGGGCGCAAAGCACTGCGACCTATGTGTGGATCTTTTGTGCAGCCTATTGCTTCACCATACAAGTTTTAGTTTACGCACGAAGGTTTAGTTGGTGAGAGGTTAGCTCTGCGAGACCTTAATGTTGGGCAGTTACATAAGATATGTTCTGAGGTTTCATCTTGTAGGCCACAGAATCTGCATAGATTCGTTGAAGAGTTATATAGACTATACTATAAACTAGACTATAGACTAGACTATAGACTAGACTATAGACTAGACTATAGACTAGACTATAGACTAGACTATAGACTTGACTATAGACTAGACTATAGACTAGACTATAGACTAGACTATAGACTTGACTATAGACTAGACTATAGACTAGACTATAGACTAGACTATAGACTAGACTATAGACTAGACTATAGACTAGACTAGACTAGACTATAGACTAGACTATAGACTAGACTATAGACTAGACTATAGACTAGACTATAGACTAGACTATAGACTAGACTATAGACTAGACTATAGACTAGACTAGACTATAGACTAGACTATAGACTAGACTATAGACTAGACTATAGACTATAGACTAGACTATAGACTAGACTATAGACTAGACTATAGACTAGACTATAGACTAGACTATAGACTAGACTATAGACTAGACGTTTTTTTAAGTTTTAATAATACATTATTTCTTAAGATTAAATACTTTTGAATAACATAATAACGTATTAAAAATCAAGTAGTGAATTCAAAAATCGGCACAAACCTGCAATATTGAATTTCTAAATAATAACAACTTCGTAAATTATTTGCAATTTAACGTATGTTATAATTGAGATAAGGTATTTATACCCAACACCTATATAGTAAGGAATGTACCATGTGTTTGTGCTGATATTTGCAAGGCATAGAAATTTAGTTAACTGTCATAAACGTTAAAGAATCAGTCGATTTCCGGAATTGGAAAGGTAACTAAATGATATTAACACCTTTAATTGCACCTTACTGAAACTGTTTTAATCGGTTCATTATTTCTGTAATCAAACAAATTTGAGAATAATTGGTTCTAGCGCCCATTTTGAATTCATCTCAACATCTCAAATACAACTCAGTTTAACAAGGATAAAAATCATCATAATCGATTGAAATCTTACCAAAGCTTTTCTATATGAAATCTTGTTCCAAAAAATACTTTCTATCGTTGTAGGGTAACATTTTGCTTATATTCTATATATTTTGCAAACTTTTTTCGAACTGACCGCAAGTTTCTCCTAAAATTATTGCATTCAAGCATTAACGTATTGTTATTTTTTAAATATTTTGTCAAGGATTTTCGGTGAACCATATTATTTATTATAATTTAATATCGTTACAAAAATTGGAATAAGCAATAGTGTTATATTCGATTATATTATTCATAATCGTATTAGATCATTTTGGATCGTCGATCCATGCATGACTTTTTTACCACAAGCTATACGTCTTATATACAGAGATGTTTAGATTATATTGAAGGGGCGCAAAGCACTGCGACCTATGTGTGGATCTTTTGTGCAGCCTATTGCTTCACCATACAAGTTTTAGTTTACGCACGAAGGTTTAGTTGGTGAGAGGTTAGCTCTGCGAGACCTTAATGTTGGGCAGTTACATAAGATATGTTCTGAGGTTTCATCTTGTAGGCCACAGAATCTGCATAGATTCGTTGAAGAGTTATATAGACTATACTATAAACTAGACTATAGACTAGACTATAGACTAGACTATAGACTTGACTATAGACTAGACTATAGACTAGACTATAGACTAGACTATAGACTAGACTATAGACTAGACTATAGACTAGACTATAGACTAGACTATAGACTAGACTATAGACTAGACTATAGACTAGACTATAGACTAGACTATAGACTAGACTATAGACTAGACTATAGACTAGACTATAGACTAGACTATAGACTAGACTATAGACTAGACTATAGACTAGACTATAGACTAGACTATAGACTAGACTATAGACTAGACTATAGACTAGACTATAGACTAGACTATAGACTAGACTATAGACTAGACTATAGACTAGACTATAGACTAGACTATAGACTAGACTATAGACTAGACTATAGACTAGACTATAGACTAGACTATAGACTAGACTATAGACTAGACTATAGACTAGACTATAGACTAGACTATAGACTAGACTATAGACTAGACTATAGACTAGACTATAGACTAGACTATAGACTAGACTATAGACTAGACTATAGACTAGACTATAGACTAGACTATAGACTAGACTATAGACTAGACTATAGACTAGACTATAGACTAGACTATAGACTAGACTATAGACTAGACTATAGACTAGACTATAGACTAGACTATAGACTAGACTATAGACTAGACTATAGACTAGACTATAGACTAGACTATAGACTAGACTATAGACTAGACTATAGACTAGACTATAGACTAGACTATAGACTAGACTATAGACTAGACTATAGACTAGACTATAGACTAGACTATAGACTAGACTATAGACTAGACTATAGACTAGACTATAGACTAGACTATAGACTAGACTATAGACTAGACTATAGACTAGACTATAGACTAGACTATAGACTAGACTATAGACTAGACTATAGACTAGACTATAGACTAGACTATAGACTAGACTATAGACTAGACTATAGACTAGACTATAGACTAGACTATAGACTAGACTATAGACTAGACTATAGACTAGACTATAGACTAGACTATAGACTAGACTATAGACTAGACTATAGACTAGACTATAGACTAGACTATAGACTAGACTATAGACTAGACTACAGACTAGACTATAGACTAGACTATAGACTAGACTATAGACTAGACTATAGACTAGACTATAGACTAGACTATAGACTAGACTATAGACTAGACTATAGACTAGACTATAGACTAGACTATAGACTAGAGATAGACTAGACTATAGACTAGACTATAGACTAGACTATAGACTAGACTATAGACTAGACTATAGACTAAACTATAGACTAGACTATAGACTAGACTATAGACTAGACTATAGACTAGACTATAGACTAGACTATAGACTAGACTATAGACTAGACTATAGACTAGACTATAGACTAGACTATAGACTAGACTATAGACTAGACTATAGACTAGACTATAGACTAGACTATAGACTAGACTATAGACTAGACTATAGACTAGACTATAGACTAGACTATAGACTAGACTAGACTATAGACTAGACTATAGACTAGACTATAGACTAGACTATAGACTAGACTATAGACTAGACTATAGACTAGACTATAGACTAGACTATAGACTAGACTATAGACTAGACTATAGACTAGACTATAGACTAGACTATAGACTAGACTATAGACTAGACTATAGACTAGACTATAGACTAGACTATAGACTAGACTATAGACTAGACTATAGACTAGACTATAGGCTAGACTATAGGCTAGACTATAGACTAGACTATAGACTAGACTATAGACTAGACTATAGACTAGACTATAGACTAGACTATAGACTAGACTATAGACTAGACTATAGACTAGACTATAGACTAGACTATAGACTAGACTAGACTATAGACTAGACTAGACTATAGACTAGACTAGACTATAGACTAGACTAGACTAGACTATAGACTATAGACTAGACTAGACTAGACTATAGACTAGACTATAGACTAGACTAGACTATAGACTAGACTATAGACTAGACTATAGACTAGACTATAGACTAGACTATAGACTAGACTATAGACTAGACTATAGACTAGACTATAGACTAGACTATAGACTAGACTATAGACTAGACTATAGACTAGACTATAGACTAGACTATAGACTAGACTATAGACTAGACTATAGACTAGGCTATAGACTAGACTAGTGACTAGACTGTAGACTAGACTATAGACTAGACTATAGACTAGACTATAGACTAGACTATAGACTAGACTATAGACTAGACTATAGACTAGACCATAGACTAGACTATAGACTAGACTATAGACTAGACTATAGACTAGACTATAGACTAGACTATAGACTAGACTATAAACTAGACTATAGACTAGACCATAGACTAGACTATAGACTAGACTATAGACTAGACTATAAGCTAGACTCTAGACTAGACTATAGACTAGACTATAGACTAGAATATAGACTATACTATAGACTAGACTATAGACTAGACTATAGACTAGACTATACACTAGACTATAGACTAGACTATAGACTACAATATAGACTAGACTATAGACTAGACTATAGACTAGACTATAGACTAGACTATAGACTAGACTATAGACTAGACTATAGACTAGACTATAGACTAGACTCTAGACTAGACTCTAGACTAGACTATAGACTATAGACTAGACTATAGACTAGACTATAGACTAGACTATAGACTAGACTGTAGACTAGACTATAGACTAGACTAATATTTTTTTTTATTTTATATAACAAATATTAAGGTTGAATACCTCCTTTTATAGAATGTGGTAGACCTAAAACCGAAGTCTAACAGAACTAGTTAACTCTCAGTATTATAAAACACATTTGAGATATATTTTATTCAGATTAAAATTTTCTACTTTCCCATTTATATATGTGGCACATGTTGATAAGAATGGTTAATTTTTTGTGAAACCCCCAATACAGTTTTCGTAGTGAATCACAAAATATTATCGGTTTATGAGTCTATAAAAAATTTTTTTGAATGCCAATCACATTTGACTTACGAACCCATAGGCTTTTTAAACATAAGAAAACAAATCACACTATCAGAGATCAAAGCAGATTTGTTAGAAATTTCAGATGGTTCTCACGAGATCCTAATAAAAACGATTTTTTTAAATCTTTGATTTGATTTATTCGATTAATAACAAATAGCGAATAAAATTTATTGCTCTGGGCATTATGTATGTTGAATTTTTTGTTGATCATTTTGATAGCAGAATTTTTGGAACAATTTAAAAACCTCAATATTTTGAGTATAAATTTGCCGCACAACTGACCGCATTTAAAGATAAGAAAACCATAAACACTGTTTTTAATTATTATTAATTTTGTAAAAGATAACATAAAAATCAACACTAAAATATGCTGACATTCGAAAACGATCAAAACCTCAATAGAAATTAAAAAAATATTATTAGAAATTTCGATCGTTGTCAAATGCTTCAATGGAATTGAACTTTTCTAATATTTTTATATAATTGTATATTTGAACTAAAATGTTGTTCCCTTAAAGAAATATTGAAACCAACATTTTTACGATTAACTTTTTATTGTCTTAGTTAAGATTAACTACAGATTTGAAATGATTAAAAGTTTCGGGTAATGATAATTTAGATTATTCCGATAATTCTACTTTATGACTCACTAAAATCGTGCATATATTTATAAGACTGTGAATACTCTTAATATTAATAACTTTTTTATGACAATAATCGTAAATACTACTTACTTTCTAAGTGCACTTTAATTATAAATCATTTGATAATATATTTGCTCTGATAATAAAACTTCACATGACGATACAGGTGAATCATAAAGAATAGCCCTCTTATTATTGCTTTCTAAAAATGCTCATGTATTCTTTGTTTACAAAGTTAAGACCTTTTATAGGTTAGTAACTAGATATAGATAATCTATATGTAATCGATAATCTATATGCTATGTTCTGAAGAGACAATTAGATTCAAAAGTCAATTGCGCGATTCGCCATAAAAGATTTCAAGTTTGAATTTGCTCATTTGTACGTAATTCAGTTAACTCTCAAATCACAATAGTAATTCGCGAATTATGTAATTCAACTTGTCGTAAGAACTTGACTTAAAGTGCAATTTCCTTGAAGGAATTGATTCTTATCAAGAATGTAATCCAACTATACCTATGCGAAATCAAAATTCATCTTAAATTTGATCATATTCCCATCCTCTGGGAATATCATTTAAATGATCATAAAGTTAGGTGAAAATCGGAGTATGTTAGATCTTTGACCCATAAATGTCCCCTTCTGAACATTACTTTAACGTCATAATTGGGGTTCTTAAAAACCTACATAAGCCCCATTTGCGATAATTATGAGGATCGATCTACAATAGTTTCAAGTATTTTAAAAATACCTTCTTAACCTACTTAAATGATATATTCTAAAAACTGAATAACGCTATCAAACTCTATAAAGTTCGGTTCATAATATCCACAAAATGCAACACAAGCGTTCCTATGGAAATTACTCTAACCCTCAAAAACCTCGTGTTATTATCGATATTCCGAAAAAGTTCTATATAAATAAGAACTATAATTTTTTATATCGAGATACTATATTCAAAAAGTGATAACTTACTAAATAAATAAGCTGATTTAGCAATTTTCGAATATAGGTCTCGGTTTTTCTAGGATAAAAAATCTTTATTAATATAAAATTTTACTTATTTTTCTATTTTTAGGTAACTTCTTGGATAACAAGTGATGGCAGTGAGTCACTGCAACGATTTATAAATTTGGAATTGGATTTTGAAACCCCCATGAAGGAACTCGAACATGAATTCGAAAAATACTACTTTATATCAATGGTAATAAAACGAACGAAACATTTCCAATAAACTAAACGCTAAACTTATATTATTTTCCCCACCCAGAAACATTTAGCTAAAGGACGAGATCTACATTTAGCAGCTGCCTGCATGGAATCTCTTAAGGAAAGTTCGCTAAACCTGAAAAAAGCTCTCGATAATTTTGCGGAAAAACTCGAAATAGCTCGAGAGCGCATAGAGGGTGCCACACGTTTATATCATCTCGTACATCTTCATATGCTCGATGAAAATATGCAACACGAAATGGAACGTTTAGCTGGACTCTACGGCACAAAAGGACTTTTAGAAAAATATCTCGAAAAGGAAAATGAGAGATCGAAACCAAAACCGGATAGTTTAAATTTACATATCAATCATAATAGCAGCATGCAAAAATCATTAACACAAATCGTAACAAGTACGCCGGATACAAATAAAATACGTGCCATAAGTCACAGGTCAAGTTATGGTACTGGTTCATTTGAGAGTCCCGCATGTCAATGTTGGCGCGATAGTCGAAATCTAGATGAAATGGATGAAATGTTGGATAACGATGAGGAGGAAGGGCGTTCGAAAATTGCCGATTCAGGAGTGGGAGAATGTCAACGTTGTGAGGGGAATCCGAAATTTACCAGAGTGTGTTCATGCCAAAGTCTCAACGAGGAATCAGAGAATTTATATGAAAAACAGTTAGTAGTTAATGAAATTCTATTAGACATAATTAAAATTATCATAATTTTGAACTTCATTTTAGTGATGAACTCGATGATGAATGCTTCGAGCAACCATCTAAACATTATATTAATGTCCATTCACCCTGGGAGGCCAATAAACATTTACAATGTTATGCCTCCACATTCGAATTGCCCAAATTAGAAGAACTCAGCTGCCTAGATCCAAAAATACAAAAGTTAGTATTTTATAAACTTAAGAAAACTTATTATATTATTGTTATTTCTTACAGAACGCTCCTATTGATCATGCGCGAGATGATTGGCACGGAACGTGATTATGTACGTTCATTGTATTATGTCATTGAAAACTATATTGATGAATTGTTGCGCGATGATATACCACAATCGCTGCGCGGTCAACGCAATGTTATCTTTGGTAATATTGAGAAGATTTTCGAATTTCATAATAATCATTTTCTTGCGGAACTGGAACGTTACGAACATAATCCGCTGAAAGTTGGTGCCGCATTCCTGCAAATGGAATCGAAATTTTATTTATATGCTTTATATAATAAAAATAAACCAAAAAGTGATACACTGATGAGTGAATATGGAACTGCTTTCTTTAAGGTAATACAACAAATTTTCTTTAATATTTTGATTCGACCAATTAATTATTTTATTGGTGGAAAAATATTGAAGGCAATGCCCTCTTAAGTTAATCTTGAAAACTACTGGACTATAGACTAGATTATAGTCTAGTCTTTACTCTAGCCTGTCGTCCAGTCTATAGTATAGTCTATAGTCCAGTCTATAGTCTAGTCTATAGTCTAGTCTATAGTCTAGTCTATAGTCCAGTCTATAGTCTAGTCTATAGTCTAGACTATAGTCTAGTCTATATTCTAGTCTATAGTCTATATAGTCCAGTCTATAGTCTAGTCTATAGTCTATTGACTAGTCTGTAGTCTAGTCTATAGTCTAGTCTATAGTCCAGTCTATAGTCTAGTCTATAGTCTAGTCTTAGTCTAGTCTATAGTCTAGTCTATAGTCTAGACTATAGTCTAGTCTATAGTCTAGTCTATAGTCTAGTCTATAGTCTAGTCTATAGTCTAGTCTACAGTCTAGTCTATAGTTTAGTCTATAGTCTAGTCTATAGTCTAGTCTATAGTCTAGTCTATAGTCTAGTCCATAGTCTAGTCTATAGTCTAGTCTATAGTCTAGTCTATAGTCTAGTCTATAGTCTAGTCTATAGTCTAGTCTATAGTCTAGTCTATAGTCTAGTCTATAGTCTAGTCTATAGTCTAGTCTATAGTCTAGTCTATAGTCTAGTCTATAGTCTAGTCTATAGTCTAGTCTATAGTCTAGTCTATAGTCTAGTCTATAGTCTAGTCTATAGTCTAGTCTATAGTCTAGTCTATAGTCTAGTCTATAGTCTAGTCTATAGTCTAGTCTATAGTCTAGTCTATAGTCTAGTCTATAGTCTAGTCTATAGTCTAGTCTGTAGTCTAGTCTATAGTCTAGTCTAGTCTAGTCTAGTCTAGTCTAGTCTAGTCTAGTCTAGTCTAGTCTAGTCTATAGTCTATAGTCTATAGTCTATAGTCTATAGTCTAGTCTAGTCTATAGTCTAGTCTATAGTCTATAGTCTAGTCTAGTCTATAGTCTAGTCTATAGTCTAGTCTATAGTCTAGTCTAGTGTAGTCTAGTCTAGTCTATAGTCTAGTCTAGTCTATAGTCTATAGTCTATAGTCTATAGTCTATAGTCTATAGTCTATAGTCTATAGTCTATAGTCTATAGTCTAGTCTAGTCTAGTCTAGTCTAGTCTAGTCTAGTCTATAGTCTAGTCCATAGAGTCTAGAGTCTAGTCCATAGTCTAGTCTTTAGTCTAGTCCATAGAGTCTAGAGTCTAGTCCATAGTCTAGTCTATAGTCTAGTCTATAGTCTAGTCTATAGTCTAGTCTATAGTCTAGTCTATAGTCTAGTCTATAGTCTAGTCTATAGTCTAGTCTATAGTCTAGTCTATAGTCTAGTCTATAGTCTAGTCTATAGTCTAGTCTATAGTCTAGTCTATAGTCTAGTCTATACTCTAGTCTATAGTCTAGTCTATAGTCTAGTCTATAGTCTAGTCTATAGTCTAGTCTATAGTCTAGTCTATAGTCTAGTCTATAGTCTAGTCTATAGTCTAGTCTATAGTCTAGTCTATAGTCTAGTCTATAGTCTAGTCAATAGTCTTGTCTATAGTCTAGTCTATAGTCTAGTCTATAGTCTAGACTATAGTCTAGTCTATAGTCTAGTCTATAGTCTAGTCTATAGTCTAGTCTATAGTGTAGTCTATAGTCTAGTCTATAGTCTAGTCTATAGTCTAGTCTGCAGTAAAATTTTTGTGTGTGGCCCTTTTACCTTAAAAACTATTAAAGAACAATTTGTGAGTTGCACCTTATTTTCAGACTAAACAAATCGAACTCAATGATAAAATGGACTTGGCTTCATACCTGCTAAAGCCAGTGCAGCGAATGGGTAAATATGCTTTACTTTTACAGCAATTGGTAAAAGCCTGCAGCACAGTACAGGTACAGTAGCGATCAATATTAAATCTATATAGAAAAATTCTAATCATTAGATTCGATTCCCTTACAGGGCTCGGCATTACAAGAAATTGCAGCCGATGTTGAAGAATTGCAAAAAGCCGAAGAAATGGTTAAGTTTCAATTGCGACATGGCAATGATCTATTGGCCATGGATTCGCTGAGAGACTGTGATGTCAATGTCAAAGAACAGGGACGTCTCTTGAGACAAAATGAATTTTTAGTGTGGCAGGGTAGGGGTGGTAAGAAAACATTACGACAAATTTTCCTATTCGAAGAATTGGTATTATTCAGTAAAGCCCGAAGATTTCCGGACCATAAGGTAAAGTTCTTTTTAATATAAATGAATAACTGATTTTTTTTTTATTAATTAATTAAAATTTTAGAATCTTGATATTTATATTTACAAGAATAGCATTAAAACTTCGGATATAGGTTTAACTGCTCATGTGGGTGATTCACCTACAAAATTTGAAATTTGGTTTAGAAAACGTAAACCCGAAGATACATTTACCCTGCAATGCATGTCAGAAGATATAAAAAATGCCTGGACAGAGGAAATTTCAAAGTTATTATGGCAACAGGCGAAAAGAAATCGAGGTACTGTATAGTAAAACTGTAAACAACATAATTATTCTAAAGATTATTATAATGTTAATTTTCTAGAAATTCGCCTAGCTGAAATGTCTTCAATGGGCATTGGCAGTAAACCATGTTTGGATATAAGACCTAGTAATAATCAAATTAATGATCGTTCGATTACTATTACCCAATTAGGAAAAGGTTTGTTAATAAAAATTCTCTCTTAAGTAGTTTTATATGTTCCTTATGTGTTTCCCAAATAGCACCCAAATTGCGTCATTCATTTGTGGGCTTGCACACCGACCAAATAAAAACTTCACGTCGTCCCAACTCCCTAATATCGGAAAGTTCTTTATCTAGTGGCACTAGCAGTTCTTCACTTAGTAAATCCTCCACTTCATCATCATCGTCATCTGCCCATCACCACCACCACAGCAACAACAACAACAATCACCATAATCATCATCATCAGCAGCAGCATCACAGTCAACAGCAACATCATGCGAATCAAGCTCTTGAGCTAATTAATGAATGTCAAACCCTGGCTTTAGAGAGCAATACTGACAATTGCAACAGACCCCAACAACTTATGACCAACACTATGAGCAGTGGTTTTAGCAGTCAGAGTGGTGCTGGTACTTTAAATTCCCGACATCGTAATCATCATAAACGTTCGACAACTATCGTTAGTCAACTATCAATGGGTATTGAACTTGATTTATGTTATTATTTTTAAATTAATCACAAAAAAAACGCACGTTAAAACCTGATATCGTTTAATTGCTATATGTTTTGTGTGTATGTTGTAGCATTTATAGATTGCTACTTTTTACGTAAATATATTAATGTATATTTGTTGTATATAATGTACTATATAGTTTAAATTTTGTTTGTGTTTATTGCATGTTTTTCACATATGTATATAATGGTATTTAATAGATCCAATTGTTTTAATTTTTACTCAAATTTTGGAATTTTTTTCTGGTTTATTGGTTTCAAAGAGACAAATCTAAAATTGAAAATATGGAAGGAAGTATATAGTATAAACTATAGTGTATGTCATTTTCTAGTCTATAGTCTGGGTATGTTCTATTGTAGAGTCTGAGCCATAGTCTAGTCTATAGTGTGGGCTATAGTCTGGATTATAGTCAGGTTTAGTTTATATTTTTGACTACAGACTAGTTTACTGAAAATGTCAAGGCTATAATGTCAAGCCTATGGTTTGAACAATAGTCTAGTCTATTGTCTGCACTAAAGTCTGAAGTTTAATCAGGACCATAGTATGGAAAACAGTATAGTTAGGTTTTTTTCGAATGCAAGTCTAATTGGATATTGTTAACCATTGTAGTATATAGTCTGGATTATAGACTTGCGACTTGTAGTACAATCTGTAGTGGTGACTATAGTCTAGTCTATAGAATGAATTATAATTTAGTTTATAGTCTAATATGGCCTAATAAATAGTGGACTAGTATAACATAATCTGAACTAGAGTATTGTTTATAACCTGTGTTATTAATTACTTTATATTAAAATCACATTAAATAATTGGTATATTCTGCATTTTATTCATAAAATATTAATTGTATTTATATTTGTGCTAAAATTGCAAACTTTAATTTCCTTAACATTCTCACTCTACTGTTCTAAAAAAATGCAGCCATTTTTTTTAAACAATATTCAAATCTTTTCTTATAAATGTTCTAATATGTAAAAAAAAAAAAAAAACAAAAACATTTTTTTAACAATCTTACTAACCAACATTCTTACTCATTATATGTATATTGTGTGCAACAGAAAGTGGTATAATATCAGATATATGCATGACACCCGATCAGGATAATAATGATGTATTAACAACATGGCCCTCCATCCATCCAACAGATGCCATAGTATCCCCCACAACAGGTGGACAGAAATACACACACAAAACTTATTCATCAAATACTTTGGGTAAGAAATTGGAATCACATTATCATCATTCGCAACAGCAACAACAACATCAGCAATATAAGGAATTGAAATTGGAGGAAAATTTAGAACACACGAGTTGAACATTGTTTCTTTCTAAGTATTTAATAAATCAATGATGACCTTTTTATTAATAAACTTTAAACATTTTATATTATACGAAATTAATTAATTAAAGCTAAAAACGAAAAAAAAATATATATATATGGAAAATTTAAGAATCAGTGAATTTATTTATATGTACTCGTTTTATTATTTTTTATTTCATTAACTACTTTTTTTAGTTTTTGTCATTATTTATACATTTATTTATATATTTCATTATTGTTTATTGCATTTTTTTGTTATTTATTATTTTTTTATTTTTATGGCTCATTTCTCTCTGTTATCTTTATAGTTTTCTTTTTGCTTTAAAAAAATCTTTATATCTTTTTCGATTTTGAATTCAGAATGTATTATGTTAAGATTTTTTTAAATTTTTTAAAGTGTTTTATAAAAATTTATACTTAATTGAGTAAAAAAAACATTAATAATTAAATATTAAGTTATAAAAAATGAATAAAATTATTTAAAACAATAATTAGGTACCAAATTTATTTATTTTTATTCATGTTAAAAAAAAAATTTTTTTTAATAAAATGTATAAATAAAAATACTTTTTAAATTGAAGGCGAATATCAGCATTACGTCCCTTCCAGAGGAAAGGGCCCACACGGTAGCTCGGGACTAAATTTTTTCATCACACAAACGCCACTTCACATTCTGAACATAAGTGTTCGTATTTGAATAGCATTTAAACAAAAAAAGAATATGGGAATTATTAAGGTTGAGTTATTTTAGCACAGATATAAATAAATATTTTACAATGCTTCTTAAACTGTCCTATAAAAAGTTACCAGATGTTTTGAAATAGTATTTATTTCAAAATATTTATATGTTAAAACGTTAATTTTTCCGTTAAACTCGGAATTAATTCAAAACATAAAAGCTATTAGTTATGTGTACGGGAAACTAACCATGAGAAATTTTAAAAATTAATAAGTAATCCTCCGCTATGTGCAAGATAATGTGTAAAACCTATGCTACTTAATAAATAATTAAGTTCTTTATTATATTTTATACTCAAAATATTTTTATTTATCTTAATTTCTGAGTTTTGTTAGCTTTTCTCCTCTCTCTTATCCACCATGCAAAGTAGAAATGAATAAAACATTATCTCGTTGTTGTAATTCATAGTCTAGTTCACCCTGAAATATATGAAAGATAAGTTTTAGAATAAATTTTACGCACATATATACGTTTTTATATATTCACCAATAATTCCCAATCTGTGTCATTAACCAATACCAAAATACCAGGTCGCCTGCAAGTAAATAAGAAAAATTAGATAGATAGATAGATAGATAGATAGATAGATAGATAGATAGATAGATAGATAGATAGATAGATAGATAGATAGATAGATAGATAGATAGATAGATAGATAGATATATAAATAAATAAATAAATAGATAGATAGATAGATAGATAGATAGATAGATAGATAGATAGATCGATAGATAGATAGATAGATAGATAGATAGATAGATAGATAGATAGATAGATAGATAGATAGATAGATAGATAGATAGATAGATAGATAGATAGATAGATAGATAGATAGATAGATAGATAGATAGATAAATAGATAGATATACTGGAAATTGAAATCTCTCACGGGAATAATCAATTCTTTGAAACTGTCTAAACTTTCTGTGATAAATATTTCTAATGTACTTTGTTTTTCTAAACATTACTTACACAGTATCTCCCTGTATGAATAATTCAGGTCTTTCGGTAAGGATGTTAGCATGCATCCATTTTAAAAGGCTTCTAATGGTCCCTGTTAAAAATATTATATACATATAAACAATATTAGAGTAATTCAAATTAAATTACTCACATTTTTCTGTTGAAGGCAAAGATATTTCACGTTTTTTAATGTTACCGAAAAGTAGCTCAGCGCCGGCACTATAAAAAAATATGTTTAATAAATATTAAAAAGAAAATAATAATTTATATCACCGTGGAAACCAACCTGAATTCCAAAATAATTTTCAAATCTGTTGAGGTCATATTATTTAAAAAATAAATGCAATTTTTCTTAAAATCAACAAGAGTTAGAATAAATGACAAATTTGGTGTTTATAAACAGCTGATAATGACAAATAAACAAAAACACATGTCTACAAAGATTGTAAGCAAATACAGTTTGAAAACCACTTCGAAGTATTGAAAACATATAAACCTACTAAACACAGTTAATTTTAACTACAAAAGAAATAGACAAAATTCTACTTTGTTTATAGAATTTATTTTTTCGATTTATCAGTTGCATTCGCTGCTGAGTTATCTGTTTCTTTTAAATCAAGTTTAAAATCAATTGGTTTATCGTAACCCATAATTTTTACATAATGTTCAGGATCTTCAAACAAGGCGGGATCCACAAATAATGACCGTTTGCCCACATTGAATGAAGTAAACATGCCGGGTACTTCAGGAATTTTCACATCGCTAGGGCGGAATTTTGTCTAAAGAGAAATTAATTAATAAAAGTTTTAAATTCAAAGAATTCTTGTTGATGCTATTGCCTTAAATACTCACCCGAACTTTCTGTAAAATAATATTTATTGTAGTTGCTACATACTCCTCTGTCATTGGATTATAATGTATTTCGGTAACATACTTTTTAGTCACGAAGTGTAACAGCAAAGGTGTAACAAACGTAAAGAAACCAGCAAAACTGCACAAAAATACCGCCATACCAGTACCGCCCATTTTCATGCCCTGTTCCATTAGGATAGGTTGAGCGGCTAAGCCAGCTAAACTGGTGGTCAATGAGAATACCTTAACAGCTCTCATGCGTGGTGTCAATGTACCATAGTAAACCAACTGCAAATCTTTAACGTCAACTTCTTCATTAGTCTTTGAAGCATAACTTCTTCTTTGCATTAAATAACCATTGAGTAAAGCAGGTTGTTTCTGTAATTGCAGACTAGAACTATTCCTGGCTACTAATGTTGCTCCTGTCGAGAAAGCGGCATTATTTTCGGTTTGTATTAATTTCATTGATTTGCAAGTGTTGCGTGAAATTTTATTAAACACTGAATTGCAGCGCAACGTTGTTCGGAAAGCCAACATTTTCAATTAATTTAGAATTAGTTTTATTTACAATTTAAATTGAAATTTTATTAAAAATGTGCGATGTTATATTGGAAAATTTATTAAATAATCAATCCATGTCAAAAACAAACTAAATTTGTTACTCCAATTGTTCTCAAACTGTTCGAACATATGGCACATGTCAGATTGTAAATGTTAAGTTGCCATATTTTTAAAATTACTTAGTAGCTTAACACATAAATGGCAAAATTTTCAATAACAGTGGGATTGTAAAGATATAAAGTTAGAAATTTTTTAAATTTATTTCTAATTTCCAAGATTATTCAAAATGTGTAAATAATTAATTTAAAAATATCATAAAGTATTTATGTCTTCAATTTGCCGAATTCTTTTCTTAAAGTTAAAATATTACTTCTAAATCAACCATTTTTCTATAAATAATGGTGTATTTAACGAAAATTTATCAAAATTTATCTATAATGAGCAAATATTTTAAACATTTATTAATTTTCGTTTTACAGATAATTTTCGACCAGTTTTTATAAAAAAAAATATTAATTTAAAATTTTCTATAAAAAAATCAACTTCAGATAGAAAATTTTTTATAAATATTCTTTTTATAGAAAAATTTCAATACATTTGTTTTCATAGAAAACGATGTTTGATATTCTGTAAAAAGAAAATTTATCAAAAATTTTTTATAAAAAAATTCATTGAATAATTTTTCTAAGCAAATTTTGTTGAAAATTTTGTATGCAATAAAATTTATTTTAATGGAAAAAATATTCAACTATTTTATAAAAATAGAAAAAGAAAAATAAATTTTTTATAAAAATAGAACAAATATTGAAATTTTTTGTTGAAGATTTTAAATAAGAAGAAAATTAATTAAAAGTTTCCTATAAAAAATATCAAACATATATAAAAAGAAATTTTATAAAAATTATCTATAAAAGGAAAATTAATCGAAAATCTTTTATAAAGAAATTCTTTAATTTAGATATACTGGTTAATTATGAATGTGTGAAGTTTAAATTTGGTGTTTATTACTAAATAAATCTATTTAAATATTTAATAAAAAATACTTTATACATATGTATGTAAATGCACACAATAAATTAAATAAAATTATTAAATTTTAAACCAGATTAAATTCATATTCATTCTTTCTTTTCTATTTACTCAAAGAAATTCCTCTAAATTTCTGCAAACACTCATACAATGTTAGATTTTTTGTTTCCGGCATACAAAGGAACACGTACAATCCCAATTGTAGACACATTACACCCATTACAAAGTACAAAGCAGTTGCACTGACGGTCGTCTTAAATGAAATCACCGACAATAGGATTTGAAGTAAATTCTCTCCAATCAATACGACAGCGATACATTTGGGCTTTTGTGTTACGGTGAATGCCTCCGATAGATAAACAGTGGCAGTTGTAGAAACTCCAGTACATATGATGAACTGATACAGAAGTATAAGTATGGAAACAATTTCCAAATCGGTGGGTATGATGGCAATTTGAGATTGTGTCAAGTAATCCATAATGCCACCCGCAATGAACATAAAGATGGTGGCAGGCAAAAGTGTAACGACACATAATCTGCGACGTCCATAACGATCGATAACTAGGCCACCCAGTAGACTGCCCAAAAGGCCGGCCATTGTCAGTGTGTACAAACAATTCATGTCACAATCAAAGCCCAGCCAACTGGCGGATAAAAAAATGTGATTGAATGGCTGAGACATAGAGATGGCAACAAAACAACGTAGAATAAATACTTTAATTAGTGGCAGCAAGTTGTACTTGCGAAATATAAACCAACAACTATCGTCAACATCCATAGACAATAACTGCATATAGTCCTCACGCAGGCGCTTCATTTCATTGTTTGATACATGTGTTCCTTGTAGCTTTTGCAATACCACAGCTGCTGCCACATCACGTTGCTGCTGCAGCAACAGCAGAGGAGATTCAGCACGTAGTTTAAATGTCCATAGAATAACAGTGACACCTAAACATGCAACCACAATGCCATGTATTTGATCCACATGCATTGTATGGCCAGTTGGGGGTTCAAAAGTATACCAAATATATGTGAGTGTCAGTTGCAGTAGAATTCCAAACCATATAAAGCAACGTTCGGTTGACATAACTAAACCACGTATATCTTTGCTAGCTACCTCCGCGCCACTAACAAATGCCTGCAATTGTAGTAATCCAAAAGCTATGCCCTCACAAATGCAACCGAATGCAATTGCAATGTACGTTGTAGGCATAAGGATAAATAATATACCACCAACAATTAAGAAAAATCCACTTAAAATCTGTATAAAAGAGGAAATAAGGAAATAAATGAATTAAATAAACACACCGAAGAATAAGAGAGGGGTTTTGAGTCCGCAATCAATTGCAAATTTGTAATCAGATTAGTTAATCCAAAAATAAATTTAATCTAATGTTAATCCCCTTTGATGTTTTTGAGTACAAATTGAAAGTTTACAGTGGTACCTATAGAACTAACTAACTAACTAACTAACTAACTAACTAACTAACTAACTAACTAACTAACTAACTAACTACTAACTAACTAACTAACTAACTAACTAACTAACTAAACTAACTAACTCTAACTAACTAACTAACTAACTAACTAACTAACTAACTAACTAACTAACTACTAACTAACTAACTAACTAACTAACTAACTACTAACTAACTAACTAACTACTAACTAACTAACTAACTAACTAACTAACTAACTAACTACTAACTAACTAACTAACTAACTAACTAACTAACTAACTAACTAACTAACTAACTAACTAACTAACTAACTAACTAACTAACTAACTAACTAACTAACTAACTACTAACTAACTAACTAACTAACTAACTAACTAACTAACTAACTAACTAACTAACTAACTAACTAACTAACTAACTAACTAACTAACTAACTAACTAACTACTAACTAACTAACTAACTAACTAACTAACTAACTAACTAACTAACTAACTAACTAACTAACTAACTAACTAACTAACTACTAACTAACTAACTAACTAACTAACTAACTAACTAACTAACTAACTACTACTAACTAACTAACTAACTAACTAACTACTAACTAACTAACTAACTACTAACTAACTAACTAACTAACTAACTAACTAACTAACTAACTACTAACTAACTAACTAACTAACTACTAACTAACTAACTAACTAACTAACTAACTAACTAACTAACTAACTAACTAACTAACTAACTAACTAACTACTAACTAACTAACTAACTAACTACTAACTAACTAACTAACTAACTAACTAACTAACTAACTAACTAACTACTAACTAACTATAACTAACTAACTAACTACTAACTACTAACTAACTAACTAACTACTACTAACTAACTAACTAACTAACTACACTAACTAACTAACTAACTACTAACTAACTAACTAACTAACTAACTAACTAACTAACTAACTAACTAACTACTAACTAACTACTACTAACTAACTAACTAACTAACTAACTACTACTAACTACTAAACTAACTAACTAACTAACTAACTAACTAACTAACTAACTAACTAACTAACTAACACTAACTAACTAACTAACTAACTAACTAACTAACTAACTAACTAACTAACTAACTAACTAACTAACTAACTAACTAACTAACTAACTAACTAACTAACTAACTAACTAACTAACTACCTAACTAACTAACTAACTAACTAACTAATCCATGAACCAATCAATAAATTACTTCGTAGGCTAGTCCATAGATAAGTTTGTAGTTCATATACTGGACCAAATAGTAGACAACGGACTAGTCCATACATAAAACTCCTTAGAGTAGACAAAATACTACTCCTTAGTCAATTGACTAGTCTACACAGAGGGAAAAAGAAATATACACACCTGGTACCAGTTTGACACCACACTGTTTATAATTTTTCAATACCATCCGTTATCAAAGCATATACATACGTACGACAACACTATGTAATGTTGACAACATTGCAATAATTCTTTGTCGAAATCTAAATTTTATACACATCTGTTGTCTAAATGTTAACAAACGTGGTAAGCTCACTATTGACAAACAATCCGTTGCAATGTTAACAACGTTGCGCTGTCAATATTACATAGTGTTGTCGTACGTATGTATATACTTTGACAACAGATGTTATTGAAAAATTATAAACTCTTTGGTGTCAATTTGGTCCCAGGCGTGTCCCTTTTCCCTCTGTGTATAGGGCGTTCCATAAACTATTCAAATTGCTATTCCATAGGCTACTAACGTAGGGCCTTTAAACTTTATAATGTTATACATAGTTGTTACTTTTTCACATTTCAAATGTTCCATGTCTGGAATATAAGATTCTATATTGTAGACCATGAATAGTGAATCTTTTAACGTCTCAGTTTAAAATCATGTTTTTGTAAGGGGATTTCAGACATACAAAATTGTTACACTAAATTATCACATTCACATATGCTACCGTAATTTCTACGAAAAACAAACTACTTACATGAGAAATATTTTTCGTTACTCGTCCTACGAACAGCGATGCCGCCAAGACACCCATAATGACACCAATAAACCATACGATTGTTAAGAAGTTAGGATCAAAATCCAAATCATATTGTGCCGATGGTAATTCGTATACAGACCAACACATTTTTAAACCGCCAGCAAGAAAAACCATGGCAGCTTTAAATTGAGACAAAGAATTTTTACAATTATGAAATATGCATTCATTTTTCTATGGCCTTTATTACCTGGCATCATTAGTTCAAATTGAAGGCGACATTGCCATAGCTGTTTCAGCCATGTAGTATTATTATCTTCCTCTTTAATAGTGGGCAACAAAGACATTTTCTAGATTATTTTTTGCAATTATTTTTTTATAAAATGATCGATTTATTTTAAATATTTAAATCACACAATAATCATAAATGGACTCATTACTAGGTATTTATTTAATTCCTCATGCTTAGGATATAACGCTTAATATGACACTGTTTGGAATGCAATGAATTTATTCGAATATTTCATATTATTTACAATTCCCAACTATAATTCTTATGTGTAAGTATGGATGTATATCGAAAGTATACAATTGGGGCTTATCAAAAAAAAAAAAAAAAAAAAAAAAAACAAGTAAGAAATTATGGTCGGGCAAGGCCGACCATATAATACCCTACACCTTTGACAAAAATATAATGTGATTTAGTTGCCATAATAAAGCATTTAAATTGAATTGTACCTTGCCTCAGATATACATACTTAAGCCGTTTATTGTTGAATAAAATTGTGGACATTTAAGTGAAATTTTGATGGGGGCTTTTTATAGGGGCTAGGGTCATATGAGGACCTATTACTATGGATTTTGTGAGGGTCATCAAATCTTGTATAGAACTTGGTTTTTGCAGCTTTTTGTCGAGATATGAGTATATTAAACATAATTATGAACTTAAAAGCCCTATTCGGCGGGTTCAGTTGTATGGGGGCTAGGTGAAATAATGGACCGATGTTAACCATTTTCAGTAGGATTCGATTACGGTAACATAGAAGATCATGTGCCAAATTTCATTGAATTATCTTCAAAATTGCGACCTGTAGTTTGATTACAAAGTTTAAAAGCCCTATTCGGGGGGCTAGGTGAAATAATGGACTGATGTTAACCATTTTCAATAGACTTTGTCTACGGTACCATAAAAGATCATGTGCTAAATTTCATTGAATTATCTCCAAAATTGCGACCTGTAGTTTGATTAAAAAGTTTAAAAGCCCTATTCGGGGGTTAAGTTGTATAGGGGCTAGGTGAAATAATGGACCGATGTTAACCATTTTCAATAGGATTCGTTTACGGGAACATAGAAAATCATGTGCCAAATTTCATTGAATTATCTTCAAAATTGCGATCTGTAGTTTGATTACAATGTTTACAAGCCCTATTGGGGGGTTCAGTTGTATGGGGGCTAGGTGAAATAATGGAACGATCTTAACCCTTTTCAATAGGCTTCGTCCCTGGGACAATAGAAGATCATGTGAAATTTCATTGAATTATCTTCAAAATTGCGACCTGTAGTTTGATTACAAGGTTTACATGGACGGACAGACGGACGGACATAGCTAAATCGACTCAGAAAATGATTCTGAGCCGATTGGTATAGGAACAATATTATTGTGCGTTACAAACATCAGCACAAACCCAATATACCCCCCCCACTGAAGTGGTGTAGGGTATAAAAAGTATAATATTCTCTCTCTTAGCGTCTCGATTAACCCTAGTCCAAGATACAGGTGAGTATTGGCAAATATTGATAAGATTATTTAGTTTTTATTGTTGTTTAAAAGAATCAGAACTTTAAAGAGTGCTTTCTGTAATACCATTAAAGTTGAAAGGGTTTATTAGGTTTAAGATTGTTTTTGCATGTGTGAGACTTTAGATTTTAATACATATATATATATCCCTGATTTTGAAAATACTATATTTGCCACACGATTTTAAGTTTTATTTTTTTAAATAAGCAATATGCCCTGAATAAATGTAACTTTATTTATTTCAGAAAAATCTCAAGAAACCACAAAACAATCAATTATCTTAATGCTCTGGAACGCATTATTGCTCAAACGCAATAATTTAGTTTTCGAAATTTTATATTTTTTTTAGTTATACTCAATTCTACCCATATCTTATCGTATATTCGATGTTTAAATAAAATCATTATTTACAAACGGGAGTGAAGAAGTATTTTATAGTTGTTGGCGTCATAGTTAATGCTAAAAACCCTTCAATAAAATTTATAAAAAAAATCGATAAATTGATAAAATACAATTTAAGTATTTTCTAATTTTAATGCTACAAGATAAAATTATAAAAATGGCATATAACCTTTTTATACCGGGAAATCCCCAATTCTAAATTGTTATTTCTTTTCGATTTACTCACGAAATTCTGAATTAATAAAAAACAAAAATAGTTTTAGTTCTTTTGCTGAGTACGTTATTTATCGTTTTTTATTAAAAGTTTATAAATTTTCTAAATTTCGGTAGACATTCACGTAAAGAGCACAATTTAGTTTCTGGCATTATAAATATTGACATCAGTAAAAACACCAGCGAGAGAGAACCCAACGTTATGAAATAATCCGAGATACAGAATAAATTATTTACAACAAACAGATCTTTGCATGAGTTAATTATAATGTGAACCAGCATTTCTACCATGAATACAATGGTCAAATAATGGCGTTTGACTGGCAACGGAAAGGCTTCACTCAAATAGGCCGATGACGAAGCCATTGACATGGAGGAGAACAATTGAAAGAAGACCAAAACATATTTGACGGTATTCATGCGCTCGACTATGAGATAATTTAGTTTATTATTAAAAATAGCACCCACTTTGAAGGCCAAAATTGTGCTACCGAAGAAACCTATAATCATAATTGGCTTTCTGCCTAAGGAATCTAAAGTAAATGAGGCAATCAATGGACCTAATAATCTTGCAAGTGCATAGAAAATGTGTATATAAAAATATGTATTGGGTTCTGCGGTAACTAGCGAAGAATAGGCAAAAGCAAAATTTACAAAATATGAAAATCCGAGAGCCATAAAGGAACGATAGAAACATAGTTTTAGCAAAGCTGGTATACCGTAGATGGCATTTTCCTTAAATGTTTTTTCTTTACTTTCGGCCAAATAACGTTTGTGTTCCTCCAACTGTTCGTAGATTTCAGCGGTTAATTCATGAGGTTTCTGTAAAGCTTTCAAAGCGTCTAAGGCCATGCGTTCGTCCTCACGTAGCAAATAGAAAATGGGAGACTCTATTAGGTATATAGTTGTCAGAATGAATGCTATTATACCACAAATTATATTGAGTACCCCATACATTTGAGTTGCTGAAAACGGGGCCTCAGGATCATTGGAAAATAATTTGGGATAAATAATCTGTATAAATATACCACAACTAAATGATATTGTATCGACGCTACAGGCGTGGAAACCTCGTAGTGGTCTTATAAGCTCTTCGCCAATTAAAACAAATGTCAGGGGAAATATGAAGCCGACAGCAAGTCCATTTAGGTATCTAGAAGCCATTATAGTATCATATGAATTTGGATCAGTCAACTGTAATATACCACTGATAAAGACTAGCATTGATGACATCCACTGGAAAAAGATTGTAAAAAAAACTTAAATTACTAATTTGATTTTTATATAAAATGATTATAACTTACCATTAATAGTTTCTTGGGAAAATATTTACTGAAATAAGCACCACCTATGGCACCAATTAAGGCACCCTCAAACCAACTTGAAACCATTCTTTCTGTTAACAAGAAACCTGTATTGGAATTTACCGATAGTCCAAGTTTCCATGCCATATTTATACCACCCGATATAAATATGAATGATGCTGCAATATAAGAAATATAGAATATATATGTATAAAAATATTTATGATAATATTGTTGGTTATGTCCGAACATAGATCTGCATTTATGGCCTCATATAGTATCAATTATAGGCCGCTCTCTGGAGATTTAAATGTTGCATTTAATCACAACCTAAATGCTTTTATCTTTAGGTAAATTTAGCAAATCCGTTAACAATGTATACTGGAAATTTGGACATCGGACACCAGAAGTATTTGATCGCATACCGAAAATATTAATTGTTGATAACTGCGAAACATTGCACCCAAATAGGAGTACAAGCGGTACATTAGAGCAAACCACTGTGGGAATATGTTGTTAAACGGATGGATCTAAACTAGGAGACAAAACGGGGCTGAATATATATATACAATGAATACCCAGATACCGAAAGTCTGTGCTATTCCAAAATAGGTAAAATGGATTGGGTTAAATATGGCTTAAAAGGGGTTAACATATGTTCTGACAGCCAGAATGTAATAAGGGTGATTGATATCAGTTTAAGCGTATAATTGAAATAATGGAACGGTGAGGAGGACCCTTGGGGTGATCTCAACGGAAGCAGAACAAAAAGACTTTCGTGGTTAGTAGGATGGTATGTATTCCTATGGGGACTAGGATCAAATGAGGCTGTAAAAGTTTTAAGGTTGTTGGCCCAACATTTTTGTATATTACAAACATCAGCACAAATGCATACCACCACTAATCCACTATATTAGTGTAGGGTATAAAAACTTTACTAAGGCGTGAGTATCTGATATAAGCTAATCAATGACTTTCTAATTCTGATTATTTAGTGTTATCTTCAGACAAAAACAAAAAAGAAAAAATATAATTGATAGTTAATATTAAACAATTCCATTTGTTGAGTTTGATAGCTAAATTATAACACATGTATCTTATTATTTTGGACACTTTCAAGGAAAATTTTGTAGAATTTTCTATATTTATTGTGGATAAATTTAAACTATTTTTTTTTAAATATATCTACCTGTTGCCACAGAATTAGCTTGTGGCCTATTTTTACGGTTAAGTTTCCACCAGGTCTCATTTTGTTGTGTTGATGGTAAAGATGTGGGTATACTATATACTTGATGCTGGTCCTGAGGATGTTGCGTAGTCCCTACCACCATGCTTGAGTATTATAAGTGTAAAAATTCGAAAATATGTTAACTGCAAAAAATATACAAAAATAAATGTTGATTTCAATTAAATGTGTTAAGGGTAATATCCCCTAAAGTTATTTTTAACATTTTACGAATTTGATCTGCTCAAAATATCTTCTAACATAATTAATCATTTATAAATTCTCACTACTTACTTACATACGTCTTTCTTTATTAAACAATGTTTGTGTACTATTTATTTAATTATATGTAGTTTTATTATTTGTTGATTATCTTAAACAATAACAATATCGGCAATATCATTTAGACTTAAGAGCGTTAAAAGCCAAAAGAGTCAAAAGAGAGCCACAAGAGGAGTATGCCCTAAATTTAATAAAATTATATTGAAAATTGCGACCAGTAGTGTGCACACAAGATTTACATGGACATACAGACAGACGGACATAGCTAAATCCACTCAGAAAGTGATTCGGAAACGAAGGTATAGGACCAATATTTTTGGGTGTTATCACCTATTTCAAAAAGTACAAAAGATTTTTATATGAAAAACATAAAAACGGCTATAGTTCCTTAAATAATGCTCTAATCAAGAAAATACTGAAATCGGTTTTTCCACGAAAAACCGATTTTTATATGGAAAACATAAAATCGGCTGTAGTTCCTTAAATAACGCTCCAATCAAAAAAATAGTGAAAATCTGTGATCACTCAAATTTTCCATGAAAAATCAATTTTCATATGAAAAACATAAAAACGGCTGTAGTTCCTTAAATAACGCTCCAATCAAGAAAATACTGAAAATCTGTGATCACTCATATTTTCCATGAAAAATCGATTTTTATATGAAAAACATAAAAACGGCTGTAGTTCCTTAAATAACGCTCCAATCAAGAAAATACTGAAAATCTGTGATCACTCATATTTTCCATGAAAAATCGATTTTTATATGAAAAACATAAAATCGGCTGTAGTTCCTTAAATAACGCTCCAATCAAGAAAATACTGAAAATCTGTGATCACTCATATTTTCCACGAAAAATAGATTTTTATATGAAAAACATAAAAACGGCTGTAGTTCCTTAAATAACGCTCCATCAAGAAAATACTGAAAATCTGTGATCACTCAAATTTTCCATGAAAAATCCATTTTTATATGAAAAACATAAAAATGGCTGTAGTTCCTTAAATAACGCTCCAATCAAGAAAATACTGAAAATCTGTGATCACTCATATTTTCCATGAAAAACCGATTTTTATATGGAAAACATAAAAATGGCTGTAGTTCCTTAAATAACGCTCCATCAAGAAAATACTGAAAATCTGTGATCACTCATATTTTCCATAGAAAAACGATTTTTATATGAAAAACATAAAAACGGCTGTAGTTCCTTAAATAACGCTCCAATCAAGAAAATACTGAAAATCTGTGATCACTCAAATTTTCCATGAAAAATCGATTTTTATATGGAAAACATACAACGGCTGTAGTTCCTTAAATAACGCTCCAATCAAGAAAATAGTGATAATCTGTGATCACTAAATTTTCAATGAAAAATCGATTTTTATATGAAAAACATAAAATCGGCTGTAGTTCCTTAAATAACGCTCCATTCAAGAAAATAGTGATAATATGTGATCACTAATATTTTCCATAGAAAATCGATTTTTATATGACAAACATAAAATCGGCTGTAGTTCCTTAAATAACGCTCCAATCAAGAAAATAATGCTAATCTGTGATCACTAATATTTTCAATGAAAAATCGATTTTTATATGAAAAACATAAAATCGGCTGTAGTTCCTTAAATAACGCTCCAATCAAGAAAACACTGAAAATCTGTGATCACTCATATTTTCCATGAAAAACCGATTTTTATATGGAAAACATAAAAACGGCTGTAGTTCCTTAAATAACTCTCCAATCAAGAAAATAGTGCTAATCTGTGATCACTAATATTTTCAATGAAAAATCGATTTTTATATGGAAAACATAAAATCGGCTGTAGTTCCTTAAATAACGCTCCAATCAAGAAAATAGTGCTAATCTGTGATCACTAATATTTTCAATGAAAAATCGATTTTTATATGAAAAACATAAAATCGGCTGTAGTTCCTTAAATAACGCTCCAATCAAGAAAATACTGAAAATCTGTGATCACTCATATTTTCCATGAAAAACCGATTTTTATATGGAAAACATAAAAACGGCTGTAGTTCCTTAAATAACTCTCCAATCAAGAAAATAGTGCTAATCTGTGATCACTAATATTTTCCATAAAAAATCGATTTTTATATGGAAAACATAAAAACGGCTGTAGTTCCTTAAATAACGCTCCAATCAAGAAAATAGTGCTAATCTGTGATCACTAATATTTTCAATGAAAAATCGATTTTTATATGGAAAACATAAAATCGGCTGTAGTTCCTTAAATAACGCTCCAATCAAGAAAATAGTGAAAATCTGTGATCACTCAAATTTTCCATGAAAAATCGATTTTTATATGGAAAACATAAAAACGGCTGTAGTTCCATAAATAACGCTCCAATCAAGAAAATAGAGATAATCTGCGATCACTAATATTTTCCATAAAAAATCGATTTTTATATGGAAAACATAAAATCGGCTGTAGTTCCTTAAATAACGCTCCAATCAAGAAAATAGTGAAAATCTGTGATCACTCAAATTTTCCATGAAAAATCGATTTTTATATGGAGAACATAAAATCGGCTGTAGTTCCTTAAATAACGCTCCAGTCAAGAAAATAGTGAAAATCTGTGATCACTCAAATTTTCCATGAAAAATCGATTTTTATATGGAAAACATAAAAACGGCTGTAGTTCCTTAAATAACGCTCCAATCAAGAAAATAGTGATAATCTGTGATCACTAAATTTTCAATGAAAAATCGATTTTTATATGAAAAACATAAAATCGGCTGTAGTTCCTTAAATAACGCTCCAATCAAGAAAATAGTGATAATCTGTGATCACTAATATTTTCAATGAAAAATCGATTTGTATATGGAAAACATAAAATCGGCTGTAGTTCCTTAAATATCGCTCCAATCAAGAAAATAGTGATAATCTGTGATCACTAATATTTTCCATAAAAAATCGATTTTTATATGGAAAACATAAAAACGGCTGTAGTTCCTTAAATAACGCTCCAATCAAGAAAATAATGCTAATCTGTGATCACTAATATTTTCAATGAAAAATCGATTTTTATATGGAAAACATAAAATCGGCTGTAGTTCCTTAAATAACGCTCCAATCAAGAAAATAGTGAAAATCTGTGATCACTCAAATTTTCCATGAAAAATCGATTTTTATATGGAAAACATAAAAACGGCTGTAGTTCCATAAAAACGGCTGTAGTTCCTTAAATAACGCTCCAATCAAGAAAATACTAAAAATCTGTGATCACTCATATTTTCAATGAAAAATCGATTTTTATATGGAAAACATAAAATCGGCTGTAGTTCCTTAAATAACGCTCCAATCAAGAAAATAGTGATAATCTGTGATCACTCATATTTTCCATGAAAAATCGATTTTTATATGGAAAACATAAAAACGGCTGTAGTTCCTTAAATAACGCTCCAATCAAGAAAATAGTGAAAATCTGTGATCACTCATATTTTCAATGAAAAATCGATTTTTATATGGAAAACATAAAATCGGCTGTAGTTCCTTAAATAACGCTCCAATCAAGAAAATAGTGAAAATCTGTGATCACTCAAATTTTCAATGAAAAATCGATTTTTATATGAAAAACATAAAAACGGCTGTAGTTCCTTAAATAACGCTCCAATCAAGAAAATAGTGAAAATCTGTGATCACTCATATTTTCCATAGAAAAACGATTTTTATGTGGAAAACATAAAAACGGCTGTAGTTCCTTAAATAACGCTCCAATCAAGAAAATACTGAAAATCTGTGATCACTAATATTTTCCATGAAAAACCGATTTTTATATGGAAAACATAGAAATGGCTGTAGTTCCTTAAATAACGCCCCAATCAAGAACATACTGAAAATCTGTGATCACTCATATTTTCCATAGAAAAACGATTTATATGTGGAAAACATAAAAACGGCTGTAGTTCCTTAAATAACGCTCCAAACAAGAAAATAGTGAAAATCTGTGATCACTCATATTTTCCATAGAAAAACGATTTTTATGTGAGAAACATAAAAACGGCTGTAGTTCCTAAAATAACGCTCCAATCAAGAAAATAGTGATAATCTGTGATCACTGATATTTTCCATGAAAAATCGATTTTTATATGAAAAACATAAAATCGGCTCTAGTTCCTTAAATAACGCTCCAATCCAAAAAATAGTGAAAATCTGTGATCACTAATATTTTCCATGAAAAATCGATTTTTATATGGAAAACATAAAAACGGCTTTAGTTCCTTAAATAACGCTCCAATCAAGAAAATAGTGACAATCTGTGATCACTCATATTTTCCATGAAAAATCGATTTTTATATGAAAAACATAAAAACGGCTGTAGTTCCTTAGATAACGCTCCAATCAAGAATATACTGAAAATCTGTGATCATTAGTATTTTCCATGAAAAATAGATTTTTATATGAAAAACATAAAAACGGCTGTAGTTCCTTAAATAACGCTCCAATCAAGAAAATACTGAAAATCTGTGATCACTCATATTTGCCATGAAAAACCGATTTTAATATGAAAAATTTAAAAACGGCTGTAGTTCCTTAAATACCACTCCAATCAAGAAGATAGTGAAAATCTGTGATCACTCATATTTTTCATGAAAAATCGATTTTTATATGGAAAACATAAAATTGGCTGTAGTTCCTTAAATAACGCTCCAATCGAGAATATAGTGAAAATCTGTGATCACTCATATTTTCCACGAAAAATCGATTTTTACAAGGAAGATATAAAATCAGCTGTAGTTCCTTAAATAACGTTCCAATCAAGAAAATAGTGATAATCTGTGATCAATTATAGTTTCCATGAAAATTCCATTTTTATATGAAAAACATAAAATCGGCTGTAGTTCCTTAAATAACGCTCCAATCGAGAATATAGTGAAAATCTGTGATCACTCACATTTTCCATGAAAAATCGATTTTTATATGGAAAACATAAAAATGGGCTGTAGTTCCTTAAATAACGCTCCAAACGCTAAGAAATGATTATAACATGTATCAACATTTCCACTATGAAAACAATTGCTATGTAAAAGTGTTTAACTGGCAAAGGAAGCTTCACTTAAATACGCTTGAAAAAAAATCAATCGTTTAAAAATTCTGCCAATGGCGAATGCAAAACCAGAGCAAATAAAGAAGCCCATAATTACAGGTGGTTTACGGCCTTTAGAATCTAAGGTAAAGAATGCAATGAGTGATCCCAGTAATCTGGAGAAGTCATATAATATATAGGGGTATATATAAAGATCGGTTTGTAAATGCATTGTAAAGGTGAAGGTGAAATTAACGAAATATGAAAAACTTGGAGCCATAAAAGAAGCAAAGTTTTAACAAAGCGGGAAAGTCATAGATGGCATTTTGTATAAAAGTTTCTGATTTACTTTCGACTACATAATACTTGTGTTCTAAAAATTGCTCTGAAATCGTTTGGGTGTTGTTATAAAGCGGCTGTAAACTTGTTACTGATAGCATAGCTCTTCTCCACGTTGCGTTTGCTGACTTTTAAGTATATTAGGGATAAAAGAGCGAATTTTATATTCTGTAAGCTAAAATGGATATATTTTTATTTCAACATGAAATTTTATACAAATTCCATTGAATGATTTTCAAAATAACGAGAAAAAGTTAAGTAAAACTATCATTTTAAGATAAGTTTTAAAATTTATTAAACAAATAATATACATACATTTATATATCTTGAAAACAACTTAAATTTAAATGAAAAAAAAACTTAAAAATATTTAAAAAGCTTTTGATTAAAACATTTATTAACAATAATAAATATTTACATAAAATTAATTGCGGAAATTATTTAATTTTCTAAATTTCGGCAGACATTCTCGTAATGAGTACAATTTAGTTTCAGGCATCACAAAAACAGCCACGCCCAAAAACACCAACGATAAAGCACCCAAAGTTAGGAAATAATCCGATACATGTAAAATAATTTTTATAAATGAACTAATACTGGTAATACAGATAATGTGAACCAACATTTCCACAATGAAAACAATGGCCACATAATAGGGTTTGACAGCCAAGGGAAAAGCTTCACTCAAATACGCCGAACACGAAGTCATTGATATGGAGGCGAATAGTTGGAAAAAGATCAATATATATTTGACGGCATTCATGGAATCGATATCGATGTAATTTAGTTTGTTATCAAAAATACCGCCAACGGTGAAAGCTAAAATTGTGCAAATGAAGAAACCAATAATCATGGGATTTTTACGGCCTCTAGAATCCATGGTAAATGTTACAATTAAAGGTCCCAACCAGCGGGCAAAAGCATACAAAATAAATGGATATGTCTGGAGTTGTGTGGTTGCTATCGAAGAATATGTAAAGGCAAAATTAACAAAGTAAGAAAATCCCAGAGCCATGAAAGCACGATAGAAACAAAGTTTAAGCAATGCTGGTACTCCATAGGCAGCATTTTGCAAAAAAGATCTTTCTTTACTCTCGGCCAAATATCGCTTGTGTTCCTCTAATTGTTCATACGTTTCATAGGTAATAGTAAATGGTCTCTGCAGACGTCTCAATGAATCAATAGCCATTTGTTCCTCTCCCCGAGCCAAATAGAATAAAGGTGATTCTATTAATAACATGGAGCCCATAAAAAAGGCAATCACTCCATAAATTATATTAAGCACTCCACACATTTGTATCGCTTGAAAGGAATCTTCAATGCTGGAGGTCCAAGTGACAGAGTAGATAATCTGTATAAACATACCACAACTAAAGCACATGGTGTCCACAGAAGCGGCATTCATACCACGCATGTTTTTCACCACCTCTTCGCCAACCAAAACAAATGTCATCGGAAATACTAAACCCACTGCTATGCCATTTATATAGCGAGAAGCTAGAATGGAATCATATGAATTGGGATCGGAAACCTGTAGTATACCGCCAATTGTGACCATGATTGAGGCTAAACCCTAGAAGTAAAAGTGTGTTTAGTAACATAACATACAATTTACGGAGTAGGCAAACTTACCATTAGTAATTTTTTCGGCACACGATTGCAGGCAACTGCCCCAACAACTACACCAATTATACCGCCAATAAACCAACTTAAGATCAAGTGTTGCGGCAATGTATAATTTATAATAAAGGCTCCTCCCAGACCGAGATTCCATGCCATATTCATACCTCCCGAATGAAAATCAGGATTGCTATAAAATTAGAATTGTAAATTGAAAGTAAAATTGTTAGTCGGACTGTAGTAAAGGATAGATAGCTAATGATAGATATCAAGATAGATCAGATCGATAGATAGATGAGATAGATAGATAATAGATAGATTAGATAGATAGATCAGATAGATAGATTAGATAGATAGATAGATAGATTCGATAGATAGATAGATAGATTAGATAGTAGATAGATAGATAGATAGCTAGATAGATAGATAGAATGATAGATAGTGATTAGATAGATAGATAAGATAGTTAGATAGTAGATAGATAGGATAGATAGATAGATAGATAAGATAGATAGATAGAATAGCTAGATAGATAGATAGATAGATAGATAGATAGATAGATCGGATAGATTAGCTAGATTAGATAAGATGATAGATAGATAGATAGATAGATAGAAGTAGAGTAGATAGATAGATAGATAGATAGATAGATAGATAGATAGATAGATAGATAGATAGATAGATAATAGATAGATAGATAGATAGATAGATAGATAGATAGATAGATAGATAGATAGATAGATAGATAGATAGATAGATAGATAGATAGATAGATAGATAGATAGATAGATAGATAGATAGATAGATAGATAGCTAGATAGATAGATAGATAGATAGATAGATAGATAGATAGATAGATAGATAGATAGATAGATAGATAGATAGATAGATAGATAGATAGATAGATAGATAGATAGATAGATAGATAGATAGATAGATAGATAGATAGATAGATAGATAGATAGATAGATAGATAGATAGATAGATAGATAGATAGATAGATAGATAGATAGATAGATAGATAGATAGATAGATAGATAGATAGATAGATAGATAGATAGATAGATAGATAGATAGATAGATAGATAGATAGATAGATAGATAGATAGATAGATAGATAGATAGATAGATAGATAGATAGATAGATAGTAGATAGATAGATAGATAGATAGATAGATAGATAGATAGATAGATAGATAGATAGATAGATAGATAGATAGATAGATAGATAGATAGATAGATAGATAGATAGATAGATAGATAGATAGATAGATAGATAGATAGATAGATAGATAGATAGATAGATAGATAGATAGATAGATAGATAGATAGATAGATAGATAGATAGATAGATAGATAGATAGATAGATAGAAGATAGATAGATAGATAGATAGATAGATAGATAGATAGATAGATAGATAGATAGATAGATAGATAGATAGATAGATAGATAGATAGATAGATAGATAGATAGATAGATAGATAGATAGATAGATAGATAGATAGATAGATAGATAGATAGATAGATAGATAGATAGATAGATAGATAGATAGATAGATAGATAGATAGATAGATAGATAGATAGATAGATAGATAGATAGATAGATAGATAGATAGATAGATAGATAGATAGATAGATAGATAGATAGATAGATAGATAGATAGATAGATAGATAGATAGATAGATAGATAGATAGATAGATAGATAGATATAAAGAAATTGTTTGTAGCAACAAACTTGGGGAATTTACATGTAAAAATGATACGACTTAGGCTATTAGTCAATAATTCTATTTATAAACTGATAAAATTTGTTAAATTAAAATGATAACAGATAAACATTTCTACAAAATTGTTAAACATGCCAAAAGTCTGCATTTTTATTATTCTAAGAAACCAACCATATGTTTCAAAATCAAGAAATTTATTTACGCTTTAATTTTGAGTATTCTTATCTTTATGAAAAAATGTGTTAATTTAAATCAAGATATTCACTATATTAATTGATAGCCATTACCAAGAAACATTTAATTTTAGTAAATGTTTTATTTTTGGGGTGGTTTATTTTATTATTATTTTGTTAAAGAAGTAAATAAATAGTTTACTTTTTTAAAACACAATTTTGATGTATGTATGTTTACATATTTTCTTACCTGTTCCCACTGAGTTTGATTGTGGCTTATTTTTTTGATTGCGTCTAAACCAACCCTCATTCTGCTGTACGGGTTGAACAGCCGGATATTGCGGTACCGCTGAAGCGGGTATATTGTATACTTGCACCTGTATAGCAGGTTGTGGCTGCATTTGTGGATTCATCTGTGGCTGCATCTGTGGATTCATTGGCGGCTGAGGAGGAAATGGTTGCTTAGATGTATCCCACATATTTGTATTTTTATTAATAAAAATAATAAAAATAATTCGTTCGTTTTTTATTTCAGAGCTCCTTCTTCGATCAAAACTGTTTAGTTACTAATTTGATTTGATTCTTTCATATGAAATGTATGTATAATACCCAACGCCAGTTTTCTTATCTTTCAAAACATTTAATTGATATTGAAAGGTTTTGGGTAGAAAATTATAATTATAAAAAATAACACTTTGTAAATTGTGTGTATAAATCGATAAAGCTTTAACACCTTGTTGTTTATAAAAGCATTTTTGTTTTGTAAAAACAAGTAGCAAATTGCATTGAGATCATAGATAGTATGAAAAAAAGCTTTCTCCTAATGGGAAGTGGCTACTCTATTTTTGAAGCACATACACTATTAAAACTTACGGCATTGTGAGAATTGATAATAATTTTATATCCAGCAAAGCGCTGATGTTTGTAACATCCACAAAATAATAATATTACAACGACTCTAAAACATATCGACTTTCAATTACTTTTCGATTTGATTAATATAAGATGCTCTACTATTTAATAAATTTTAAAACATTCGGAAATGATTTTAACCACTTAAAATATGTATATAGAAGCTTTAAAGCTTTAGAAACTTTAATCCTTAAACTAGCAGATTACGAGAACCACCAAACCAAGAGTTTTATTTGTAATAAAATGAATTCTTGCTTCTATTTTAGGATTTTCTTACTTAAGGCTGGTGTAAGGTATCTTATATTCGCTTATACTTTCTTACTTGTTGAGTCATTCGTTGGTGTACATATTTATAAAAAAATACTCAATGAGATATAAATATCTTTATATATATTTTAAACGATACGAAAAAAAGTACCGAGTTATTAAAACGATGATAAGAAGTATTAATCATCTTCTAAAGAGAAATATACAAAAGTTTGTTTTGGTTTTGTGGTCGATATACGCAGTAACGTAAAACAAGATATACAAAAATATTTGGGTATATCACACAAAATAAAACTAGATTTTTAAATAGTACTAAGCACTAAACGAAAGAGAACTTTTTTAAATATGGGTACTAAATTTGTAAGTGTTTGGATTAATCATTTGCTAGAAAATATCTCTATTTCATAAGTGAAGCGCATCTCAGAGAAAGTATTACGTATCGATCGTAAAATATAGTAGTGGCAACCGGCAAGGTCTGAAAGGCGTTTAAAGAAAAACTTACCCACAACATATTTCTGAATATTTTTAGTTGGTATTGCAACATGTGGCCAAGCCATTATGAAGTACAATGTCTACACTGCTTGCATCTTTGAAATAATCTAGTTTTTAGTCTAATCTATAGTCTAGTCTTTAGTCTAATCTATAGTCTAGTCTAGTCTATAGTCTAGTCTTTAGTCTAATCTATAGTCTAGTCTAGTCTAGTCTATAGTCTAGTCTAGTCTAGTCTAGTCTAGTCTAGTCTAGTCTAGTCTAGTCTAGTCTAGTCTAGTCTAGTCTAGTCTAGTCTAGTCTAGTCTAGTCTAGTAGTCTAGTTCTAGTCTAGTCTAGTCTAGTAGTCTAGTCTAGTCTAGTCTAGTCTAGTCTAGTCTAGTCTAGTCTAGTCTAGTCTAGTCTAGTCTAGTCTAGTCTAGTCTAGTCTAGTCTAGTCTAGTCTAGTCTAGTAGTCTAGTCTAGTCTAGTCTAGTCTAGTCTAGTATAGTCTAGTCTAGTCTAGTCTAGTAGTCTAGTCTAGTCTAGTCTAGTCTAGTCTAGTCTAGTCTAGTCTAGTCTAGTCTAGTCTAGTCTAGTCTAGTCTAGTCTAGTCGTCTAGTCTAGTCTAGTCTAGTCTAGTCTAGTCTAGTCTAGTCTTCTAGTCTAGTCTAGTCGTTAGTCTAGTCTAGTCTAGTAGTAGTCTAGTCTAGTCTAGTCTAGTCTAGTCTAGTCTAGTCTAGTCTAGTCTAGTCTAGTCTAGTCTAGTCTAGTCTAGTCTAGTCTAGTCTAGTCTAGTCTAGTCTAGTCTAGTCTAGTCTAGTCTAGTCTAGTCTAGTCTAGTCTAGTCTAGTCTAGTCTAGTCTAGTCTAGTCTAGTCTAGTCTAGTCTAGTCTAGTCTAGTCTAGTCTAGTCTAGTCTAGTCTAGTCTAGTCTAGTCTAGTCTAGTCTAGTCTAGTCTAGTCTAGTCTAGTCTAGTCTAGTCTAGTCTAGTCTAGTCTAGTCTAGTCTAGTCTAGTCTAGTCTAGTCTAGTCTAGTCTAGTCTAGTCTAGTCTAGTCTAGTCTAGTCTAGTCTAGTCTAGTCTAGTCTAGTCTAGTCTAGTCTAGTCTAGTCTAGTCTAGTCTAGTCTAGTCTAGTCTAGTCTAGTCTAGTCTAGTCTAGTCTAGTCTAGTCTAGTCTAGTCTAGTCTAGTCTAGTCTAGTCTAGTCTAGTCTAGTCTAGTCTAGTCTAGTCTAGTCTAGTCTAGTCTGTAGTTGTCTGTCTAGTCTAGTCTAGTCTAGTCTAGTCTAGTCTAGTATAGTCTAGTCTAGTCTAGTCTAGTCTAGTCTAGTCTAGTCTAGTCTAGTCTAGTCTAGTCTAGTCTAGTAGTCTAGTCTAGTCTAGTCTTAGTCTAGTCTAGTCTAGTCTAGTCTAGTCTAGTCTAGTCTAGTCTAGTCTAGTCTAGTATATAGTCTAGTCTAGTCTAGTCTATAGTCTAGTCTATAGTCTAGTCTATAGTCTAGTCTAGTCTATAGTCTAGTCTATAGTCTAGTCTATAGTCTAGTCTATAGTCTAGTCTAGTCTATAGTCTGTCTAGTCTAGTCTAGTCTATAGTCTAGTCTAGTCTATAGTCTAGTCTATAGTCTAGTCTATAGTCTAGTCTATAGTCTAGTCTATAGTCTAGTCTATAGTCTAGTCTATAGTCTAGTCTATAGTCTAGTCTATAGTCTAGTCTATAGTCTAGTCTATAGTCTAGTCTATAGTCTAGTCTAGTCTCTAGTCTAGTCTATAGTCTAGTCTATAGTCTAGTCTATAGTCTAGTTATAGTCTAGTCTATAGTCTAGTCTATAGTCTAGTCTATAGTCTAGTCTATAGTCTAGTCTATAGTCTATCTATAGTCTAGTCTATAGTCTAGTCTATAGTCTAGTCTTATAGTCTAGTCTATAGTCTAGTCTATAGTATCTATAGTCTAGTCTATGTCTAGTCTATAGTCTAGTCTATAGTCTAGTCTATAGTCTAGTCTATAGTCTAGTCTATAGTCTAGTCTATAGTCTAGTCTATAGTCTAGTCTATAGTCTAGTCTATAGTCTAGTCTATCAGTCTAGTCTATAGTCTAGTCTATAGTCTAGTCTATAGTTCTAGTCTATAGTCTAGTCTATAGTCTAGTCTATGTAGTCATAGTCTAGTCTATAGTCTAGTCTATAGTCTAGTCTATAGTCTAGTCTATAGTCTAGTCTATTAGTTAGTCTATAGTCTAGTCTATAGTCTAGTCTATAGTCTAGTCATAGTCTAGTCTATGTCTAGTCTATAGGTCTAGTCTATAGTCTAGTCTATAGTCTAGTCTATAGTCTATAGTCTAGTCTATAGTCTAGTCTATAGTCTAGTCTATAGTCTAGTCTAGTCTAGTCTATAGTCTAGTCTATAGTCTAGTCTATAGTCTAGTCTATAGTCTAGTCTATAGTCTAGTCTATAGTCTAGTCTACAGTCTAGTCTAGTCTAGTCTATAGTCTAGTCTATAGTCTAGTCTATAGTCTAGTCTATAGTCTAGTCTATAGTCTAGTCTATAGTCTAGTCTATAGTCTAGTCTATAGTCTAGTCTATAGTCTAGTCTATAGTCTAGTCTATAGTCTAGTCTATAGTCTAGTCTATAGTCTAGTCTATAGTCTAGTCTATAGTCTAGTCTATAGTCTAGTCTATAGTCTAGTCTGTAGTGTAGTCTACAGTCTAGTCTATAGTTTAGTCTATAGTCTAGTCTATAGTTTAGTCTATAGTCTAGTCTATAGTCTAGTCTATAGTCTAGTCTATAGTCTAGTCTATAGTCTAGTCTATAGTCTAGTCTAAAGTCTAGTCTATAGTCTAGTCTATAGTCTATAGTCTAGTCTATAGTCTAGTCTATAGTTTAGTCTATAGTCTAGTCTAAAGTCTAGTCTATAGTCTAGTCTATAGTCTAGTCTATAGTCTAGTCTATAGTCTAGTCTATAGTCTAGTCTATAGTCTAGTCTATAGTCTAGTCTATAGTCTAGTCTATAGTCTAGTCTATAGTCTAGTCTATAGTCTAGTCTATAGTCTAGTCTATAGTCTAGTCTATAGTCTAGTCTATAGTCTAGTCTATAGTCTAGTCTATAGTCTAGTCTATAGTCTAGTCTATAGTCTAGTCTATAGTCTAGTCTATAGTCTAGTCTATAGTCTAGTCTATAGTCTAGTCTATAGTCTAGTCTATAATCTAGTCTATAGTCTAGTCTATAGTCTAGTCTATAGTCTAGTCTATAGTCTAGTCTATAGTCTAGTCTATAGTCTAGTCTATAGTCTAGTCTATAGTCTAGTCTATAGTCTAGTCTATAGTCTAGTCTATAGTCTAGTCTATAGTCTAGTCTATAGTCTAGTCTAGTCTATAGTCTAGTCTAGTCTAGTCTATAGTCTAGTTAGTCTATAGTCTAGTCTATAGTTAGTCTATAGTTTAGTCTATAGTTTAGTCTATAGTTAGTCTTAGTTTAGTCTATAGTTTAGTCAATAGTCTAGTCTATAGTTTAGTCTATAGTCTAGTTCTAGTACCAAATATTTTATCCGTAACAAATCGATTTTATATGTATGTATGTAGATTAATTATAACGAGAGAGTAATTAGAACACTCATTTCTAATTACATTTATAAGTTAAATTGAATTATAAAATGCTTAGGGTAACTAAATTTAATTTTTTAAAATTTAAAATTTCACAAAGTAATTTTTTTGAAATATTGGAAATCATTAATCAAACAATACAATTGAATGATTGTCGTTTTTTTCCACTTCGCCATAACCCAGATACTTTAACAAGAAGCAAAAAAATATTTGATGATATACCTTCATATACATACACTACAATTTGAGAAGAAGTGTACATTTCACTGGTATTTATGGATGTGTGTATGTCAGATTGTCTAATGTTTTGATATGATCTTATTATTAAGTTCAATATGTTTTGTT